TAAACATTGAAACTAAAGATATTACGCGCGTTTAATAGCACAAATTGTAGGTTTTTTTAGATTATGTCCGAATCATGATATGATAAATTTAAACTGACTTCAAATTCGTAATCAGCGCCCCCAAAAACCCCCGAGTAGCAAGTTTCAAGCAAATCCAGCATTTTTCAAACAAATATCCGCCATATTGGATCCGCCATTTTGAATTTTTGAAAACTGACTTCAAATTCGTAATCAGAGACCCCAAAAACCCCCGAGTAGCGAGTTTCAAGCAAATCCGGCAAATTTTTCAAAAAAATGTCCGCCATATTGGATCCGCCATTTTGAATTTTTGAAAACTGACTTCAAATTCGTAATCAGAGACCCCAAAAACCCCCGAGTAGCGAGTTTCAAGCAAATCCGGCAAATTTTTCAAAAAAATGTCCGCCATATTGGATCCGCCATTTTGAATTTTTGAAAACTGACTTCAAATTCGTAATCAGCGACCCCAAAAACCCCCGAGTAGCGAGTTTCAAGCGAATCCGATAAATTTTCCAAAAAAGTGTCCGCCATTTTGGTTTTTTGAGGTTTTTTCAAAAACCTGATGTGATGGGGTTGAATGGGCCTCGGATTCGGATTCAGCGACCCAAAAGACATAGAAAATATATAGTCAGACCCCCAGATCAGAACTTTTTTTTTTTTGTGTGGCTGTGTTATTTTTATCCAGGGATGATATTTTTTGTATGTTCACTTCTCTATATATCTCTTCACTTCAGTTAACGTTACTTTAAATTTTATTTAATGTTCACTTTATTTTCACTTCATATAATATTTACGTTAATTTCACTTCATTAAATTTTACATTTCTTTTTCAATTCACTTTTATCTTAGTTTAATTTCACTTCACGTTTGATTCACTTCGTTTTATTTTTACTTCACTTTTACATATACCTTTCAATTCAGTGTACTTGCACTTCACTACGAGTCATTTTCACGTCACTTTCACTTCATTTTCACCTCACATTCAATTCACTGTGTTTGTATTTCACTTAACGTCACTTTTACATCACCTTCACGTCATTTTTATATTACTTTAGTTTCACTTCACATTTGGTTCACTTTATTTTAACTTTACCTTACTTTAATATAACTTTAACATTACTTCACGTCACTTTCACGTCACTTTTACGATATTTTAAACATCATTTTCACATTCCTTTTAATTCACTGCACTTCACTTCAATTTCAATTTATTTTTACGTTACTTTTATTTCACTTTATATTCGATTCTTTTTATTTTAAGTTCGCCTCACTTTTACATTTCTATTTTAAATTACTTCACGTCACTTTTATTTTATTTTCAAACATATGGTACTTTATATTTAAACTAAAAGTTTCTCAATCTCTTATAATAGTTTATGCAGCCTACTCTATTAAAAAAAGTACAATAAAGTAAATTAGAAAAAGTGGTGAAGTAAAAGTGAATGTAAGGTCAAGTGAAATAAAAGTGAAGTGAAACTGATGTGAAAGTGAAATGAATATGAAGTGCCACTTTTGCTTTTATTATTAGTTTTTTTTAAAAAAAAAATGACAAAGTGCTGTTAAATAATGAATCCGGTTAAAGTGAAAAATCTGTTGCAAGTGTAGTAAATGAATGAAGAGACAATTTCATCGTTTATCGGTAAGTTATACTCGGTTACTATTGAACATAACCTCACCTTAAAAAATACAAAATGTATATGAAATATTATTTAATTAATATTATTAATATTAATATAATATTAATATTAATATTATTTCAACTCAAAATAATTTTTGGTTTCAGGTCAAAGAATTTGATTCAGATGCTGCATGTTCCACAGATTTTAATACAAATAAAACTGGTGATATGACCTACGGAAATCTGCTATCGATTATTATTTTAAAAGGCAAAGAAACTGAACAAATTGTATTAGACGGATCAAAGCTTTTTGTTAATACAACAAATTGTATTGCCGATTTAACAATTTATCTTTGTTATTTCAACTGTTCCATAAAAATTTTCTTTGTTCATCAAACAATTCCGTTTGTTCACCGAACAATCCGAATAGTTTTAATAACAATTACACTTTTAACAATTTTTTTTAATCCTAAAAACAAATAGAACTGCTGGTTCTATATTGAAAATCCGAAATTGTTGTGTGGACTTAATTTTTAGTATAACCACAAAAATTCTTTTTTTCTCCGTGTGTAGAAATAATTTTAATTTTTGTTAAAATTAATTTGTAAATAAAATTAAGAATTCTTAATGTTTGTTTTGTTCAGAAATTCTCATTTACAATTGGTAAATAATAAAATGAATATAATATAGTGGGACATTTTATAAGCATATAATTTTAGCTAAATGTAGTTTTAACAAATTCGTAGCATATATAATTTCGATTAAATCTAAGCGTGACACTTTTATTACACTTTCACTCAATTACGATTTTGATTTTATTTATTTTCATTTGATATACACACTTCACTTTCACTCCATTTTAAAGTCCTTTCACTTCATCATTTTGAAGTGAAAAAATTATAAAAATGAAGTAAAAGTGAAGTGAACAGCGAGTGAAAATGTAGTGAAAGTGAAGTGAAAATGAAGTGAAATAGAATTCAAGTTACAGAATTGAACCTCTAAAGTGAATATTAAGAGTGAGGTGTGTCTCTTTTGCTTTAGGCTTTAAATAATTTACACCCTTCAGCTTGCATAACATTTCAAAAAGGGTGTTAAATTCTATATATATAAAGTACAGTGAAAAAAAAATGAAATGAAAAACTAATCGATTTAACCATGGTTTTCTAAGGTAATGTCAAATTCTAAAAATAGTTCAATAAGTGAAACTACATAAATTTCAATACATTGATATATATCGAGATATGAGGCCTTTTTTTCATTGACAGAAAACTATAATTTATATATATACCCTATAAACTACGAGTTTGGTCATATGGCAATGAGATTAAAGATCGATATATATATATAGTGCCTCTGACAATATAGGATTCTATAGGCGTGTGCTGTATATATGTCGAAATGTCAAAAAAGAGAGGAGAATTAAGGTGAAGGGGAACATGCACCCTGCAATGATGTGACCCCTTCCCATATTCCGCATATGTATTCCACATACTGGGAAGAGATGTACGTGTTAAATATATATATATATATATATATATATATATATGGTTGGTTGTCCCGCTGGGCACGAGCTTTCAGCCCCTGACACTCCTCCTCCTCCGCCTCTCTGTCCATTATGCAGTCACACACAATCGTTAAATTGTTACAATTACTGAAGCCATTATAAATATCACCCATGAGCAGCTGTCGCAGTTGCTATCAGCTGATGTATTTCTTCAAAATTCCAATGGAAAAGCAATGTTAATTATATTAAAGAGAGAATTTATATTAAAACGAAAAAATGTTTTTTTTATAAAGGTTGAAGAATTTAAGAAAGAAATAAAAAAAAAAAAAAATTCTAAAATTTTTCACTTTTGAATTGTTTAACCCACAGTGTTGCCAAATTAGTGGTTTTCCCACTAAATTTAGTAAGATTTTGGTCCTCTAGTAACATTTTTAGTAGGATAAATATTTTAGTAGGAAATTTAGTATCTTTTTTCTTCTTTACTGTTTTTTTTTTTAGTGTATTTACCTAAATGTAATTTTTTCTACGTAAATTGTATCTGAAGTATTAAAAGTGTGGTCACTAAGTTTAAACTATTTAAGTGAATTTGATTGGTTACACTGATGGCGATTGAGCAAATGTTCAGACTGGGCCAATCAAAATTAGTCACGCACAGTTTCTATAAGAAAGGATGCTCTTGCACGTGCCAAGCCCTGCACTGCTGTTTAGTACAGTTTATTCGTGAAGTTTATTTTATTAATGCAATGTCTATTCCATGTTTTTAAGTTCATAAATTTTTTAAATAAATTGTAACTGAAATTAATATTTAAATAAATGAAATTCCAAAAAAATGTCTATCATTATTGTTATATATTTATTACCTTGAACTATATTAAATTTTATTAAACTATTCTCTAAGTTTAAATAACTTTTGCATAATTAGTGTCAAAAATTTCAAATTTTGTGTTGAGTTAAGAATTTTTACGTTTTCTATTTATTTATTTTTATTTTTCTAGTGAAAATTAGGAAAAAAAATTTTTTGTGGAAAAAATTTATTTTTAGTGGAAAATATCTATAGCCATCTAGGGAGAAAGCGCTATTGGCATCTGACAACACTGCTTCACTTTTAGGTTAGAATATCCCGAAAACCTGACTTGCTGGATCAATTCTGAGATCAGATTTCGATACAAAAAATACTTCGAAAAAGTATAGTACGGTTCTTGATTCTGAAATCCTATAGGACAAAAGTTTGTTGACCCGTGTGTTATATTTGACGCTTTAAAGGAAATAAAGAAAAATGGTTATAAAACCGCGGGAAATATACAATAATACAAGTGACAATGTAGATTACATGGGGATGAAAATAATGCTAGATTTATGTCTTCCCGTGGAGTTAAGGTGCTGCTGTGCACGGCCGGATTTCCACGCGAGATAAGGGCACCCACTCATGACGACAAGGGAAAACATTGAACTATAGGGGTGCGCACTTTATATATATATAGGAAATGAAGTGAACTCCTGCGGTGAAACTCTATCGGCACTTAAGGATTACATATCTATATTGTATATAGTTTCGCTGAAAAGTGACACGAAATCAAAGTAGAGAAAAAATCCCCACAAACTTGTAATTTAAAATGAAATTAAATATTTAATACCTTTAAACTGATTGGTAGTCAAAAAAAGAACGCTTAGTCCATTTTTTAGTGAATTTTCCAAACTTCCAAAAGTTAAATTTTGAAAAACAAAATCTTTTAATTTGTTCGAATTATTTTTTGACAAATTTCTGATTGGTTATTAATTTTGAAATTATAATAAGTTTCAATTGACACTTAAAATTCAGAATCATAAAGTGGAATAATGTAAAATAAATAAAGGCAATAATAAAAGTTTTATTTAAATTTATATAATTTATTGTTGTTTAACTATTTTTTTTACACAGGAAAAACAAAATGTTATTTTAACACCAGAATTAGTGTTAAAATAACACGCAATAAATTTTACCCTAAATCTGCGGGTTAAATCTTATGGGTGTTAGCATTGGAGAAAATTACTCGCAACAAAAATAACACCAGCTTTTTTCTGTGTAAATTTAATTTGACAAATGAAAAATATTTTTTTATTATGAGCACACATTTTTATAAATTAGATTTTTATATATACCCACTTGGAAAGATTCCCCGAAAAGTGCCCCCTGGAGGTTCTATCAGAATTCCGCCGAAACTTCCAACGTAAATCCGTTGGAATTCCATCGGAGTTTCAAAGAATTTCCGATGGGATTCCGACGGAATTCTGACGGAATTAGGACTCTAAAATTTTCGAAAAAAATTAATCGGAACTCCGTCGGAATCCCATCGGAAATTCTTTAGAACTCCGATGGAATTACGTTGGAAGTTCCGGCGGAATTCTGATAGAACCTCCAGAGGGCACTTTCCGGGGAATCTTTCCAAGTGGATATAGATAAACATAAAGTTTCTATAAATTAAATACTAAAGTGTAATCAAAACAAAACCAAAACAATGAAAAATATAAAGGATTTGAATGTAATTTTTTTATTTCAAACATCCTTTTTAAAAAAAAAGAAAGAAAAACTCTTCATTCTGATTTTACCGCCAAAAAAACCAGTAAGACATTAATTACTAGTAAAATTTTTAATCACAGTTTACATAAAATTGCGTGCCAGAATCTTTTAGTTCTTTTAATTTTATCATTACTTCTTTCTGTTGCTCAAATATACTCAAATTTTTATCATTATGAGTTATTTTTATTCTTAAATCAATATTAGGATACGTCCAATACCTGGTCCTTTCATTAGTAATAAATTCCGTATCTAGAACCAGAAATACAGGTGTATTCACATACTGGATGAGTAATTGACTAATATTTGCATTCAAAAATGGCTTTGGAAAATGCATTTCATAAACTGTTGAAGTCATGTTAGCTGCATTTTTTCTCACTCTAGCGTCGAAAGCTGCTAATTCTTCAATTTCTGTTATTCCAGTAAATCTTGTCCATTTTTCCGTTCTATTTATATAATAATGTGTTTCATACCACGTATTGAGTTCGCTTTCTCCTCGATAGAATATAGAATTATGATATTTACTTGGATCTTTGGATTGTACTATTGCTAATCTGTATAAAGCATTCCTTATTTGTCTACCCTCATTTGTGTCTTGTCTTATTTGTTTAAAGCCATCTTCAGTGTAACTGTAATATACAATGGAATAGACATCTTCGAAACTCATTACAGATGACATATTATAAAATTCATACGTCTGAGCTACTAAATCATATATATGTTCAAATAGCATTTTATCCTCATAGAACAAAGCACGATTACGTAAATGAGAAAACATATCTTTATGAGTAATATTCTCCATTTTCTTTAATCTATCTGACAATGAGCAATTGTTATCAAAATTTTCCTTGTGCATTAAGTCGTAAAACAATTCTGGTTCAACCATTCCTGAAGCTGTGAGACGTGCAATTTCTTTATCCCTGGATAGTTGTTCCTCATTTAATTCAGAAGCATTGCTGCAGGTGCACAACGTAATAAGAATAAGAATAATTTCCAAATAATGAATTACATCATTTGATATAGCCATGATTGGAATCTGAAAAATTGTATCAAAATTATTGCGCCTTTTTAAATTTTAATTAATAAATATTTTAATAATATTGTTATTTTAAATAATTTTTAACTATACATTTAGAAAAAATTTTAAATATTGCCTAATTTATTCATGCAAAATTTTTGTTTTATACATTTTTTTTTAGGAAAATATTTAACGTGCTATTAAATTATCTTTAGTATTATGAATTTTTAAAATTTTGTATGATAAGTCATAATTGTTGTGTTGAAACAAGATATAAGTAAAAAAAAAATCAAAATTCATTTCTAGGAATTTAATAAATTATATAGTAATTGACAATTGTCAAAAGAGCAATCATCATGAATATAAAATATGCATAATTATTTAAAAATTATCAAATTAATTTAACAAGTTTTGTTACATATTTTCAAATTTTAACCAATGTAATATTGAAAATATCAGTCAATTATAAGTAATTTTTATAGTTACCTTCTGCCTTATTTTTCTTTAGACTTATTTAGTTACACTTATAGTGTTTAATATAAATTTCTACCATTTATATACTGCTCACAGCAGGTATAGATAACACAGTAAAATAATAAAAACAAACATTTCAAGTTGAAATATAAATTTTTTGTGATCAATTCATGTACACTTTGCTTCTGCATGAAGATATCGAGTCTATATATTAGAATAGATGTTGTATATTAAAAATTTAGATTAAAATTTAATAACTAAGCTACATCAAAAGTCACGTATTTACATATTTTTATTTTGACAATTAAAATCCTCCTGACTAAAAGTACATAAAATTGCAATATTTCCTATTTTGTTTCATCATTTGAAATCAAATTTTTATTATTTTCTATCAACGTACAAACACTATATTAAAAAGTCACGTTTTGAGAAATTTCTTTTGACAATTTAACATTCTCGTAAAAATGTATGCCTGGAGATCCATTCCTAGACAATGGGACTTTATGGGAGGGGATCCAATAGAATTTAATTTCATGATTTTTATATTTATTAATTTTTATAAGAGAGATTGTATATTTTGGATAAGGACTGTTTTATTTATATATATATATATAAAATTATTATTATTGTTATTATTAAAAAACTTTTTTAGTAATTTAACCTTTAAACTGATTTAGCGGTCTGACAGACCGCTATTAAAACTTTCATCGCTTATAACTTCTTTTTAAAGTTCAATTAACAGCGTTCTAAATTATGTAAAAATAAAAAAATTAAAACGAAACAATATAGAAATTGACTTTTTAATCATAAAAAATAAAAAATATATACAACAATTGACTTTACAAAATTTAAAATCAATAAAATAACATAAAAAAGGAATAGCGGTCTGACAGACCGGTGAAATCAGTTAGTGTGATTTTTCGGCACGTATCAGTTTAAAGGTTAAAGATAAAAATGAGTTTTTAACAGATTTACAAAATAAGGTTTACCAATTTAAAATTTATTAATTTTAAAAAATATATTTATTTAAAAAGAACAATAGAAAAAAAATTTAAGAAAGTAATAAAATATTGAGGAAAATTTTTAAATATTATTTTTATGTAAAATGCATGCGAATTGAAAAATAAAAGAAAGATATATCTTAATCGCATGCATTTTACATAAAAAATATTATCCTATTTTTTCAATATTGTCGGTTTTTTTTATTTTTCTTATTTATATTTCTAGTTCTAAATTTTAAATATACGTATTCTTAAAAACAAAGTTTTAAAGTAGTAAAAATTCTATATTTTTTAAATAGCAACATTTCACAAAATTATTAAAATCAAATTTCATTTCAACTGATATATTTTAATACCTAAACATTTTTTGTTTGTTCAAAAATCAAATATTTTTTTTCGCCATTGACATGAAAAAGTGTCTTTTTTGTGCCTGTTTTGGGCAGATAAAGTAGCACTTTTTAAGGCAGTTTGGGCCAACTGCCTAAAAAAGACTTTTTTAGGCAGAAAACTGCCCTGTATAGTCTTTTTTAGGCAGTAAACTGCCCTATAAAGTCTTTTTCAGGCAGTTGTTAATTTTTGCATAATTTTTGTGTTGCTTTTATTTTATTTATCAATTTTTATTATTTTATTTTATATACTATTTCATATATATTATATTATATATATATATATATATATATATATATATATATATATATATATATATATATGTCCTTTTGAAAATATATAATGAAAATAAATATAAAAATATTTTAGTACGTATTTTTTAAAATTTCAGCGTTGCTACAGGACCTAAAAAAGTGAGGAATTTTCAAAAAAAGGTCTGGAAAACCTGGAAAAGTCATGGAAATTTGAAAAAATCCCTAGAAATTTATTCCAATTAATATTTAAAAAAAAAAAAATTTTCTTTGAAAAATAGCTTGATACTTTGGTAAATTATTGTCCGATGTGAAAGTAACAAAATCTCAAAATATAAACTTATTTTTTAAAAAATTATAAAAAGTAGAGTAGATTGAAGTTTTGATTTTTCATTTATACTTTTCAATATACCTAAAAAGTTTTTTTCAAACAAAATTTTTTAACCCTATTTTTTCAATATTAAATTTTATTTTTCATTTTTAACCAAATTTTCCCTTTAAAATTAATAATAATATATTAAAAAGTGGACATTTAAATTTCTCAAAACTGGTCCTGGGAAACCTATAGAGAAGTCATGGAAATTTAAAAACAAACTTCTGTTGCAACCCTGATCATTTTTATGATTTATACGTACTTTTTGTTGTTTCGTATATATTTATTCCTTTGGACATTTGTATGTTTGAAATATTTAGTTTATACTTTAGAATTCTTCGCTAAATTTTAATCCATAATTTTGTTAGCTGAGGAAAATATTTAGCTAACATCGCTATACTAATGTCATTATTGAACAAAATCTTTACAACCGCACACATCAAAAGGAAAAAAAAAATTCCAATTTTAATTATACCCGACAATGATGTATTTTAACGAAAAAATTACAAAAATCTACAAAAATAATAATAAAAAATAACAAAATATAGCTAGGACCATTATTTTTTGGTTGTATATATGGTAAATTAAACAATTTTGTCATACGGGCTCGTGGGCACCCCAGATTCAGGGAACCTATAGCTGATGTAAATAGTCTACCCACGCGTTACTAATTTTCAAGCTATAAAGGGATTCGAAATTCGAATGCCGACATTCCCTTCTTACAGTAGAATCTGTATATCTTAAAACCGCAGGAACACATATATAGATAGGAGAAGGTTTTACCTGAATGCTTTATTGAAATATATTTCTGAGCTACGGCCCAAGTACATAAGGGTCTAAGCTTTAAGCCACCATATATATAGGCGAGGATTTTCTATGAGAAATCTTCATGAATAGTTGTGGTGCCGTCGATGTCCACGCTTCGGTGAACCAGTGCCACCGATTTTCAAGCTACTTCCTTTTCTCTCTCTCTCTCTCTCTTCCTTCCTCTAAAAAAAATATATATTCCCACAATTTGGCATTATTGTGATTTTTCCCTATTAAAGAAGACTTTTTTTTTTACAATCCATACCTATTTTTTACAATTCTGTTCCTGATGATTTTGAAATAAATACTATTTGTTGTTTGTATTCTCTAACAAAGAGATAACAATTAAATTTTACATTGTTTCGTGAAATTCTAATAATAAATTTTGTGAATGAATATACAATTTGGAACGTCTCTTTAAACGAATGAACGACCATTGTTATGCTTGAAGCTAATCCGATTTTGGCTCGTTAAACGATTACTTATGTTATACCTTCTATTGTATATAGTGATTTTCTAACAGTCTGTATAATCCTATTTAGATCGTCTTTCATGTTTGTTACTTTAGAGATGAAATTTATAAAGACGCTATTTCTTCGCGGTTTGAAAAGTCATTGTTCTATTATTGTTATTCAATTTCATATCTGTTTGTGTTTCTTTACTCAAATGTCAAACGAGATTATAGTATATACGTTATATTCATTTTGTTCAATTTGCTAAATTAGTGCATATATACACTTAACGGATTTTCGCACTTTACTGAATTGAAGAGAAAATATGGACATTCTAATCTAAAAGTGCAGAAAAGACGTTTTTCGGCCATATTTGAGTGTAACAACCTATTTGGAAAAAAATAAATAATAACTTAATGTTATCCGATCTCAAATAAGGCCAAAAAATGTCTTTTCTTCACTCAGTGTTGCCAAGTTAGTGGTCGTCTTGACCCAAGACCAAGCCATAAGCCATAAACATATACTTGAGCCATATTCAAGCCTTGAGCTATAACCAAGCTTTGAGTCATAAACAAGACTTGAGCCATAATCAAGACTTGAGCCTAAACCAAGCCTTGAGCCATAATCAAGTCTTGATCCACGATCAAGTTTTGATCCATAAACAAGATTTGAACAAAAACCAAGCCTTGAGCCATAATCAAGCCTTGAGTCATTATCAAGTCTTGAGCCATAATCAAAGCTTGAGTTACGATCAACCCTGGTGTCGTAAGAAGACTTGGTGCTTAGGAGTGCTTAGAGCCTTGAGCTTTAATGGAGCTTTGAGCCATAAGCCTGCCTTGCCTGTCTTTATCAAGCCTTGAGCCTTGAGTTTTAAGCCGTAAAGAAGACTTAAGCTTTTAGTAAGCCTTATGCAATCCTTACGAAACTTGATTAATTTTTTCCCATTTATTGAGGCTCAACGTAGTGTAAGTCAAAAACTATTGAATTTCGGGGGTTTCGCCATTAACATTTTTTGTTCAGGAGATAATAAGCTACAAAACTGCAAAGTATAAAAAAATTTGACCGAAACTTTTTTTCCCTATATGTTTTGTGCGGGGTCCTTTAGTAAGATTTTGCTCCTCCAGTAACATTTTTAGTACGATAAATATTTTAGTAGGAAATTTAGTATCTTTTTTCTTCTTTACTGTTTTTTTTTTTAGTGTATTTACCTAAATGTAATTTTTTCATACGTAAATTGTATCTGAAGTATTAAAAGTGTAGTCACTAAGTTTAAACTATTTAAGTGAATTTAATTGGTTACACTGATGGCGATTGAGCAAATGTTCAGACTGGGCCAATCAAAATTAGTCACACAGTTCTATAAGAAAGGATGCTCTTCTACGTGCCAAGCCCTGCACTGCTGTTTAGTACAGTTTATTCGTGAAGTTTATTTTATTAATGCAATGTCTATTCCATGTTCTTAAGTTCATAAATTTTATATATAAATTGTAACTGGAATTAATATTTAAATAAATGAAATTCCAAAAAAATGTCTATCATTATTGTTATATATTTATTACCTTGAACTATATTAAATTTTATTAAATACTATTCTCTAAGTTTAAATAACTTTTGCATAATTAGTGTCAAAAATTTCAAATTTTGTGTTGAGTTAAGAATTTTTACGTTTTCTATTTATTTATTTTTATTTTTCTAGTGAAAATTAGGAAAAAAAATTTTTTGTGGAAAAAATTTATTTTTAGTGGAAAATATCTAGCCATCTAGGGGGAAAGCACCATAGGCATCTGACAACACTGTCTGCAACTATAAAAAAAATTTCAAATTGCTCACAAATAATAATAATAATAATAATAATAATAAATATTTTCTATTTTCTATTGAACATTCTGTAACAGACAAACAATATATAC